ATATATATATATATATATGATGGGTATTCTGTATTCTCACATATTTATTTTGCCAAAGGAAAATATACTTCCTTTTACATGTATTTTTCTTCCTACTTATATTTAAAACTGGAAGGACTTGTGAATATAATGATTCATTAAAGTCATGGAAGTATTTGGTAAATGTGTTCTTTCTAGAGCAGAATAGAATAAAGGGGTTTGTGTGAATGTGGAGGTAAAAACTGAAACTCTGGAAGCCAATCTGAAGATGCAGTATGATTAAGTCCAGCCCTAACTAATAAAGGTGTTTTCTACTATGAGGGCAAGAAGTAAAACACTGCTACGTATAGATACAAACTGAAGAGGCTTTTGTCATTCTGTTCTGCAATCAACTTGGGCTACAACCTATCATTTTTTCTTCAATTTTGTCTAGGAATAGGAAAAAGCTTACAAAAAGAAATTCAATATATGTGAAATAGAGTTCGGGGTACCCTGCATATAATGCACATTAGAAATCATCCTGAAAGGGTGATTTTTGATACATTCCATTCTTTTCTTTCTTTGGGTACCCAACAAACTATTATCACTTTAGAAAATAAATGTTTAAAATGTAAATTAATTACGGTGTAGATTTCAAAAGGTAACATAAATGTTAAGCTAAGGGGCTAGAGCAGGCTGGAGTAGATGATACAACTATCACTATTACCACTTCTACCAATAATAAACATTTGAGTATTAATCATTTTCCAGGTAGCATTCTAAATTCCTTACATATGCTTTCTGATGTAATATCATTCAATTCAAATAAAAAATTAAAATTAAATAGCTTTCTATTAAAAATGATTAACAATATTTTTTGCCCTAGCTTGTTTGGCTCAGCAGATAGAGCATCGGCCTGTGGACTCAAAGGTCCCAGGTTTGATTCCGGTCAAGGGAATGTACCTGGGTTGCGGGCACATCCCCAGTGGGGGGGTGTGCAAGAGGCAGCTGAATCGATGTTTCTCTCTCATCGATGTTTCTAACTCGCTATCCCTCTCCCTCTCCCTTCCTCTCTGTAAAAAAATCAATAAAATATATTTTTAAAAAAATTAACAATTTTTAACATCAAGGAAACCCATTAGGTGATCCATACATGTTTCTATTCTTACACCTTGCTATAAAATGTTATTGAAAAGACAATTGTTAATATACATTTGTGTGCTGCACTATTTTTCAGAAAAAAATATATTAATTAACTAATGGGATAAGAAAATCCAAAAGAGCCCTGATCGGTTTTGCTCCGTCGGCTTGTGGACAGAAGGATCATGTGTTCACATACCTCAGTTGCAGGTTCAACCCCCTGCTGGATTGGGGTGCATTCATGAGGCGACCAATCAATGTTTCTCTCTCTCTCTCTCCCCCTTAATTCCTACCTTCTACTCTGTCTAAAAAGAAAAAAAAAAGTCAATGGAAAAAATATCCTCAGCTGAGGATTAAAAAAAAAAAAAACAAACTCAAAAGATTCAAGCTAATTCTCTTAATAAATATAAGTTTAGATAAATACTTAACAAAGTGACTGCCATGTTCACACAACTCAGAACTCTTACCATTGATCACTACTGGTTGTTGCCTCTAGTAAAGTCTGGTAAGCAAGTTCCATTAATTTCTTCACAGATTCACTAACACGACAAGTGGGCAAAGAAAAGGAATGTTGGTCCAATGTATTTTCAGGCTGTAAATTCACCATTTCATTGTACTGAGTTGTGGACATTTTCTGTATTTGTAGCTTGTCATCCTCATCAGAGGTGGGTAAGTCAGGCACACTGATCTTAGAGTCAGGAATAATCTAAGATTCAACATAGAAACAGAAAAAGCACTATCCTCAGAATAATTCAAATGCAAGCATACAGTGAAGAATAAGATATTGATGATAAAGCTATGGCTCTATAGGGTAATAGAAAGATTTGAGTAAAGCCCCGGCCAGGTGGTTCAGTTGATTGAATGTTGTCCCATGCACCAAAAGGTTGCGGGTTCAATTCCCAGTCAGGGCACATGCCTGGGTTGTGGGCTGGATCCCGGGGAGTGGGTATGCAGGAGGCAGTTGATCAATGTTTTTGCTCTCACAGCAAATATAAGGTTTCTGCACTTAGTTCTGTGTAAGAAGAGTATCTTAAAACTATGTACCTTGAATAAGTCACAAGAATGCCACAAATGTTTAGAAAAATAAGTTATGGTTATTATACCCCCAAATACTGTTGCTACTTGATTACTATAATACCTGACTATTTTATTTTTGCTGCATATATTCTTTGAGGTTTAATAATAGAGGAGTTATTGCAGTGTAGTTGTGATTTTATTTGTCCTGTTAAAAACTATTTCTTTTAGTGAAAGAATGGCCATAGACATTCAGTATACAAAAATATTGTTGGGTCACCCTAGCTAGTTTGGTTCAGTGGCTGGAGCATCAGCCTGGGTTCGATTCCTGTCAAGGGCTCATGCCCAAGTTGCAGGCTCAATCCCCAGTAGGGGGCATGCAGGAGGCAGCTGATCAATGATTCTCATCATTGATGTTTCTATCTCTCTCCCTCTCCCTTCTTCTCTGAAATCAAAT